TTGCTTTGAAACTAGCTGAATCGAGTTATAGAACTCTACCTGCAAAACAGAAAAATGAAAATGGTGATGTGGCTTAGGAGTGTTACAGGTCGTGTTTGAGGTTTGGAATAGTTTCAAGGGATGATGTGGGATGTGTTTGAAGTGGTTTTAGCAAGAATGCATGAAAGGATTGAGCTATGAAACTCAAACTGCAGGGATGCCCTGTTTTGGGCAGTTCAATGGTGATTCTATGAATGGGAAGGTGTTGGAGATGGTTGGCTCGTGTTCTAGCTCAGAATGGATGTTTAGAAAGTGTACAAAGTCTTTTCTTAAGCTTTTGTTAACTGAGATGAAAGTTGTGTTATGTTATGCTAGTTTTCTTACACTTTAAGCAACAAATGTCCACTTGAGTTTTTAGACAGGTAGAGGCCCCCCTAATGTGCTGAAAACCTTGGCCTTGATCAGTGCAATTAGCCCATAAACTTGTGCCAAGGAGATTTGAACTGTACTTACTTGAATTTGCATTTGACATAAAGTCCTACTTTTCAAGAATGGCTAATTTGCTTTTTCTATTTATGGCTTAGTTTTGTATACAATGTTTGAACACACAAAACAACACCTTGGCACAAAGGTTTGGCATTAAATTATGGAGTGTAGATGAGATAAAAGACCTGTAATCTAGCTTAAGGCATGCTGAGTTCAAAAATGCAAGGTTATGGACATGTAACTTGGTCATGAACAAAGTGAGTTTTTCCCATATTTCCAAATTCGATTCTCCCTAACCATGAGGTTATTTGATGAGTTCTTGGACATTTTGGAAAGCTTGGAATGTGTACTACAATCCATATTTGAAATGCAAATTGAAATTCCAAGTGGAATTATGTGAAAAATGGTCTCGAAGTTAGGTAAAAACCTTGCCTAAAATAGGTCAAATTTTCTCTAAGTTAAGAATGGTTTGGTACCCTTGTTCCAAAAATTGTAACTTGAGCTACAAGCTTCTTTTGGGAAAACTTTGTGAATCAAAGTTGTAGATTTTGCAATAGGCTACAACTTTCATGTTTTGACTTTTGCTTGAATCCAAATGAATCTTGGTGAGAAAGTGGGACAAAGTTAGGAAAAAATTAGGGTTTTTCATAACTTAGAAAAATTCCAAGTTATGAAAAATCTTCATTTCAAACCCTAATTTGCATTTCTTGATTTCTTGATGAACAAGTTTCATGATTTGGCATGTTTTGATGAAAAATGAATCTTGACACTTGATTTTGACCAAAAAGTCAAAGTTTGACTTTTCAGTATACAGTCAAAATTGATCAATTGACTGGGAAATTCAACTGTCAATCTTGTGCATTTGGGATCTTTTGAACTTGTTGAATGTGTCAAGACAATTCCATGGGGTCCTTGAATCCATATGTGAGCTTGATTTGCCATTGGCTAGGTCAAACAGTCAAAAATTACCTTTGTGCAGTCAAAACCCTAAAAATGACCATTTTGCCCTTTTGGTGATCTGATCAAATTTCTTGTGGAATTGTGATCCAAATTTGACAAATGGTTCATATGAGTTCATAATGTTGATGTGGGTCAAAAATCATGAGATTTGACTGTCAATTGGCCACAGTTGACTTTTTCCCCAATACAGCTGATTTCTAGGTCAACTGTCCAATTGACTGGGCAAAATTTGGAATCAAGACTTGAAACTTGGTATGGATAAACTTGGGAGTCCAACATGAAGCATCAAAGTCATCTTAGGCATTTTAGGTCAAAATATCTTTGTGTAAACACAAACCCTAATTTGGGTCAACAATGCAAGGAGAAGTCTTGAACAGAGGAAACCCTAATTGGATCTTGAGCTCCAAGGGTCTTGTGATGAGAAAATGTTGAGGAAATGGGAGGGAAAATTTTGGGGTACAACACTATTACTAAGTTTAATATTAGATGGGGGATTTACATGATGTGATTCCTTTGTTCCTTGCAGGCATGTCTACATGAGCTAAGCATACATTATGAGAAACAGAAAAGAAACAATGTAGGGAAATTAAGTGTCATGTTGAATGGTAACTCCAACATCTCCTAGTTATGCTTTGTTATGACTCGGTTTGTCTCTGCTATGTACAAACTCAATCCTCCACTATCTTATTCTTCTCCCATCATTGAGAAATCTAAGATTATTAAACCCATTACAAGTATTTTGACTAGTCCATAATATATCTTAGATTTTAAAAAAATCAAAATAAAAGTTTCAAAAGAGAGAATAGAAGCCATAATACCTAAGGTTCCTCGGCTTTTACTCGCGGAGATTGTTAATTTTCTATTTCGCCGTAAGAAGAGAAACAATAAGAAGATGAAGATTCCAGCAAGAGCAGAAGAAGCAATCAATGCTAGTAGAATTCACTAATTCAAATTCTGGTGATGCACTATTCTAACATCTTGATTTCCTGTATCATTCATTGTAAAAACAATACATCAAAGATTAACCGGTGGAAGTGCAGGAAATTCATTATCGTCAATTTAAAACTAACAAGACCAAAACTATTAATCGTGGACACATTGCTTAAGCTAAAATAACCATCTAGTAAAATTAAATCTTAGAGTATACGTCAGTTGATGACATGAACTCACCTGATATGAGTAATGGGTGTGAACATCAATTGATGACATGAAACAAGATTGTGTAGGATGAGTCTGGCAATTCAGAATTATATACGTCAGCATTGCAACACGGATATGGGAAGAATATAGAAGTAAAAATAATAAATTTGTGTATGATATAAATGAAACCGAGGAGTGCTGCTAACAAGTAAAACACACATTTTCATTCTCTTTTAGTATTACATGAAATATTGAGTGGATCCCACTAAATAACATGGAACTACTCCTTATCAATGAGGCCTACATGCAATATTATCAAATAATTGGGTGTTGAAAATAATCTATTGCTAATATTAACTAGAGTAACAAAACAAAACTTCAACTCTCCTTGTAAACAAATAGAATCACAACCTTATGATCATTGTATAAACAAAAGAGCTTACATCAAGTTGTAGCAAGTACACATGTATAGAAGAATGATACATTGATAATAATTATAATAGTTAAAAATATAAAATATCAAATTTGGAGTGTGTGTATTATCTTGAGATTCTCAAGTTCCTAACTCTAATAATACGCATGAAAATTTGCTTCATAATTGACCAAAATTTGTTTTTTCCCCATGCATGCCTTGTTATAAGGTTTCTCCATCATAAAATAAAAAATTAAATTAAAAACATATACGTAATTTCTTAACAGCAGTGTCAATGTCTTAGGTAAGTTTTACTGATGTTGATTTCCCTGCCATACCATTACCATGATAACATCGACACTTTGCGTTGATAAGTCAATAAGTGACCAAGAGTTTCACTTAAGTGAAATGAAAACCTGAATAAATGAAGTATTTGCCACTGTAGTTGAAGTTGTGTTTCACAAGAGTTTCATTGTCAAAGCAAGACAAAGATGAGAACAATAAATAGATAAACCATAAAAAACTTACCAGAGAGAAACATGATACCTTATGGTTTCAACACAGAATTTTGAAGCACCCCACTGTCATTAAAGAGAACAAAACAGACTTGACATAAGAAGCTAATGGAAATGCTTTAAATTAAAATGAATCAACACCAAATTACCGCCAACAATTAACAACCCTATCTGAGATGGTGCACCGATTGACTCCAATGACGAATCTGATGCAAAGGCGGGAGACAACGACCTGTAAATCATAGATAAAAATAGAATTGAAAACCAGTTTAATTCAGACTCAAGATCACGCGAAAAAGCCAATACATAATTGACCACCACTGTAATACGCTCTCCAGACCACACAATTGTCTTCCAGACCAGCAAAAATAATTGTTGTTATTAAAATATTAGTATAAGATATGCAACGCGTTGACAGATTATCAATTACACCAGAAGGACAAATGAAAAGAATATACCATTACATATTAACACTAAGAAACACATAGCTAATAACCCTTCCTTTGCCATGGTCATTAAATGCGTCATTGGTACCAAAAACTGCCTGAAGAGAGATGGGATTGTCTCTGCTATAGAAGCAATGCCAATAATCAAAACTTTAATAGTATCGGAGATCTCCAAAATAGATTGGACACCCTGCTGCATCAGGAGGAGATATGGTGGGCTCAGAGAGCTAAAATGCACTAGTTAAAGGAGGGAGATAGAAATACCAAAATTTTCCACATCAAGGCCACTCAACAGAACAATCAGAACAAAATTAATTCTATCCTCAATATTAGTGGGGATCTAACCTATAAAAAGGAAGATATTCATGATACTTTTGTTAACTACTTCAAGGAGTTGTTCAAAAGAAACGAAAACAGAAAAGCTTTCCCCTATCTCCATATCCATATCCATATATTCTGGGGGCTTTTGTATTATCCATGCTTTGCAAAGCATCAACGGCCTCTTTATCAGGAATGGGGCTGGTTAACATCTCTCTTTGCTCATTATTCAGTTGAGGACCACCCCTCATCATAGATATATCAATTTTGTTTCTTTCATCCTCTGCAGTTCCCACCAATTGCCTATAGAATTGCATGATTTCATCTACAGTCTAAGCTTCACTATGTGTGACAATTCCATCTTCCTTTTGTAGGGCCAAAGTACTATTGTAATTTCGTCTGGATTTAATTGAAGCATGGAAATACTTATTATTTCCATCCCCCAGTTGCAGCCAATTCAACTTGGATCTCTGCATCAACACTTTCTCTTCTACTTCCTGCCAACCAATTAAGGCATCACTACACTTTCTATCCATATTGATTTTCACAGGATTCATCCTAGCATTTATAAGTTCCTCTTGAGCCTGCTTTAATTCCATTCTTTCCTGATCTATTTTCTTGTTTATATACGCAAGAGGCTTGGACATTTCCCTTAGGATAGGTTGTAGCCTTTTTTGTTTTCTCTAAACTACAACCATTGGTCGCCCTGCAAGAGGCTCCCTCAAGCTGAGATTCACTTTCGACATGAAGTGGTCCATGTCTGCAACACAATTTGTAAACTTAAAGGTGTTCTTCCTCCTTCTCCTGTCATTCATAATTTGCTTCGAACATAGTAATGCATGGTCCGACACACTAGGCTGCATCACTTCAAGAGTATAATTCATATGGTCTTGAAGCCATTCTATATTACCAATTAGGTGATCTATCCTTGAATAGATGGGACATCCACTTTGATTATTTGGTCAAGTGAAGTTTTCACCCCTGCTGTCCATTTCATATAGTCCTGCCTTCTCCATAAACCCTTGAAAATCCCTGTATTCTGCTTCCTTGATTTGTCTTCCACCTATTCTGTCTGTGCACTTCAGAACATTGTTGAAATCTCCTAACAACATCCAAGATCCTTGTTGTTGCCTATAGATATTCACCAAGTTGTTCCACAATCGCTTTCTGTTTTCAATTTGATTATGGCAATAAATTGCAGTCATCAAGTAAAGTTAGGTACCATGTATATCGTAGACACCACAATGTATCATTTGGTCTGAGCACTTGACCATTTGAACGTTCATAGTGCTGACATATTTTCTACTCTTATGAAACATGCTCAGACTAGTCACCTTATTACTGGAATTAAAGATGCAAAAACAGCTCCTAACATCACACATCTCCTCTTTGCGGATGACAGTCTGATTTTTTTCCAGGACACAACAAAAGAAGCTAGAAATCTAAGCAAAATCTTTCAGAAGTATCAAGACACCTCAGGACAAAAAATTAATTATAACAAATCTGAAATACAATTCAACTCTGGAAAGTTTCCAGAATATTCTTAACATTCCTATTGTCTGATCCAATTCAACATTGTCTGGGTCTCCCTACTCAGATCAACAAGTCTAGAAATAAAAGTTTTGGGTACATAGTGGACAGAATCAGAGATAAACTCCAAAGTTGGAAGGAAAAGACTCTATCCTATGCTGGCATAGTAACTCTTATAAAATCTATTACTCAAGCTATTCCAAAGTCATTGGTTCTTATTATTGCAATATCCATCACCATTGGAACACTCTACCTTGTTTTTAGGCCAAAGCTTCCTAAATACTCAGTAGACAGATTGAGAATAGCACAGTTCAATCTGTCTGATAATAACAATCTTTTTGTTACCTTCGATGTAACAGTAACTGCTAGAAATCCAAACAAGAAGATTGGAATATATTATGTAAGTGGAAGCAATATAAGTGCTTTATATAAAGAAACATAATTATGTGAAGGGTCTTTGCCGAATTTCTATCAGGGTCATCGGAATATAACCGTGCTTAATCTACCTTTAACAGGTCAAACACAAGATGCAACTGGTTTAGTAAATACTTTGCAGCAGCAGCTGCAAGAGAAAGGTAATTTACCTCTGAATATTAAGGTGAATCAGAATGTGAGGGTTAAGATTGGTAAGTTGAAGCTGTTTAAACTTATTCTCTTTGTAGAATCAAAACTTCTGGTTAACTGCTATCTATGCTAGTAATGATTTGGAAAATAGAAGGCTATTATGGGGTGATATTGTGAATACTCATATGAACCAACTGTTGTGTTATCTAATTACACTCATAATGATATCTATGCAAAGTTTCTCAACAATACTTCCAGAAAAAGGAAGAAGAGAAAACTATACTGCCCCAAATTTCTAAGGTGCTTTCAACTCAAGATGGTAATGATAGTTTTTGTGAAAGTAACTTATGATACTGTTAAAAGTTAGTATTTATTTATTTCAATAAGTTTTCTGCGATAACTTGTGAAAACAACTTTCTGTTCTTGGTGAAGCCTCAAGTAGTGGAGAATATGAAACTTCAGGATCTAGTGGGTATGGTACTGGTAGTGCTGCTGGGCTTACAGGAATTATGGTGGCAAAGTCAACAGAGTTTTCATATCAAGAACTAGCTAAGGCTACAAATAACTTTAGTTTGGATAATAAAATTGGTCAAGGTGGATTCGGAGCTGTCTATTATGCCGAACTCCGAGGCGAGGTATGAAACTGCAGTGACTAATTTTTATTTTTTGTTAGTGTTTGATATCTTATCCTCTTATTTAAATTATTCTATGCAGAAAACAGCAATTAAGAAAATGAATGTACAAGCATCAACAGAATTTCTTTGTGAGTTGAAGGTCTTAACACATGTTCATCATTTGAATCTGGTATAACATCCTTTAAACTACTTAATTCAATTTTTTTCATTGTTAAAATCTTTGTTAAGCTTTTTGCATAAACAGGTTAAATTTATGTTATGAACCATGTTCTGAATTTACCTAAATTTTTATGAACAACATAGGTGAGGTTGATTGGATATTGTGTTGAGGGATCGCTTTTCCTTGTATATGAACATATTGACAATGGAAACTTGGGTCAATATTTGCATGGTTTAGGTAAGATCAGCAAGAAAAGTGCTTATATTTTTCTGTAATCTTACAATATTGTCAAACAGTTATCAATGACAGTGACATCATTCCAGGTAAAGAGCCATTACCATGGTCTAGTAGAGTCCAAATTGCTCTAGATTCTGCAAGAGGCCTTGAATACATTCATGAACACACTGTGCCAGTTTATATCCATCGCGATGTAAAATCAGCAAACATATTGGTAGACAAAAACTTGCGGGGAAAGGTAGCATTATAACCAATCTAAACGATCTTCTTTTAAAAAATTTCTTTATTTGTTAAGATTAATTAAACTATGAGTGGCTTAAACTCAGGTTGCAGATTTTGGCTTGACCAAACTTATTGAAGTTGGAAACTCCACACTTCACACTCGTCTTGTTGGAACTACATCTTACAAACAAACAAACATCTTACAAACAACAATTCTAACAAACAAACATCATCTTACAGCGACGTTATTGATGAAGAAGATAATTTCAAACCTCTGAGGAGAAGAAGAACACTTACTTGGATTGAAAAAATGAATTAGCCCTGGGCCGAAGATTCGAAGGTGATGCAACGGAGGAGGCTGCTGGTGTTGGTGATTGTGCCGTTGATGCGAGGTGGAGGGTAATGGTTAGAGGACGACGAAGGGATGAAGGATGGAGACGGTTGACAATTGATGGTGGTGGTTGGTAACGATGAAGATGAAGCGGTTGAGAGGAGGGTTTGAGAGATGACGGAACAAAGGGAGTAATGGAGATGACGAATGGAGAAGAAGATGAACAGCGATTTGTGTTTCTGGAAATATGATTTAGGGGTTAGGGGTTTAGAAATAAATTAACAAACCAAAGGCAACGCTTTCAAGAAGCGCTGCTAAAGGTACCCCCCTTTAGCAGCGCTTTAGGCTTACCCCCCTTTAGCAGCGCTTTTAGATTTACACAAAGGCAGCGCTTTCAAGAAGCGCTGCTAAAGGTACCCCCTTTAGCAGCGCTTTAGGTTTACCCCCCTTTAGCAGTGCTTTTAGACTTACACCTTTAGCAGCGCTTTTTGAAAGCACTGTCTAAAGCATACCCTTTAGCAGCGCTTTTATTAATTTTTTAATTTTAATTTTTTTTAAAACCCTATAGCAGCGCTTAGGGAGAAAAAGCGCTGCCTTTGATAAGGCCTATAGCAGCGCTTTTAGTAAGCGCTGTCTAAAGTTTTTTTTTTTTTAGATACCTACAGTAGCGCTTTTGCATAAGCGCTGTCTATGTAGCGGTGCCAAAACTCGTTTTTGGCGTAGTGATAAATCTCCCCAGCCAAGTTCAGAGGGTTATCCCCACAAGAGTCAAACAGGTTTATCCCCAGCAAGTTGCAGCTGAAAGATCACCCCCCAGTGAAATTCTTTCCTTTCACAAGCAGGAATTCGATCCTCAACAGATTCAGTATCACTAGCAACGGTAATCCATCCCCATCGGAGTTCATCATTGAAATCCCCAACAGAGCTTATCAACGGAATCCCCAGCGGAGTTTATCGTTAAAATCTTCAGCAGAACATCCTTCCCCACAGAGTATTCCCCACATAGTAATCTCTTCATCAGTTTATTCCCCAACGGAGTTCTTTTCTCCTGCAAGTTTATTCTCACAATCATCTTCATTCATCATCCCCAGCGGAAACGAAGAACTCAACTCTATTCTCCAACAGTTATCCGGGATTTACTTTCCCCATCCAAAACATTATATTCCCATACATCATGATACATGCATATACGCATCATACGAATACAATCTCATTTATTTTGAGAACATCATTTCCTGATCCATATCATGCATTGCATATGACTGACCTTTACCTTTCAGGAAATATACAGTTAAAGTTCTTAGTTACGTCGAAGACCTGACCGGTCCTTAAATCTCAATTGGATTATCCTCGGTTGAATTTCAGATAAGGTTCTCAATCTCGACAATTTCCCTACGTCAAAGTATGGACGAGTACTATAACCTCAACGATATACTACGTTGAGCACTAGTCAGTTCCTAGATCTTGATGTTCTCCTCCGTCATAGTGTGGACGAGTTCTGTAATTTTAACGGTATACTACGTTGAAGACTAGACAATTCCAAGATCTTGATGAAGATGTTTCCCTATGTCATAGTATGGACGAGTACTATAACCTCAACGGTATACTACGTTGAGCACTAGTCAGTTCCTAGATCTTGATGTTTTCCTCCGTCATAGTGTGGACGAGTTCTCTAATTTCAATGGTATACTACGTTGAAGACCAAACAGTTCCTAGATCTTGATGAAGATGTTTCGCTACGTCATAGTGTGGACGAGTACTATAACCTCAACGGTATACTACATTGAGCACTAGTCAGTTCCTAGATCTTGATGTTTTCCTCCGTCAAAGTATGGACGAGTGCTATAACCTCAACGGTATACTACGTTGAGCACTAGTCAGTTCCTAGATCTTGATGTTTTCCTCCGTCACAGTGTGGACAAGTTCTCTAATTTCAACGGTATACTACATTGAAGACCAGACAGTTCCTAGATCTTGATGAAGATGTTTCCCCCCCAATTGAATTATGGACAGGTTCTTAAGACTCAGCCGAGGCATTCTCTCAGTTGAAGTACAGGCAAGTTCCTAAATCTCAACAAAAGTTAGGCTTCCCCAGCGGAATCTTCTACAACAACGGGTATGTAAGTTCTCGCTAAGGAATCTCTTATGCGATCGACACTCCTGAAGATGGAATCTGTAAGCCCATCCTCCTACCAACAATCTCCAAATGGCATCTGTAAGCCTATTCCCGACATCACAATACTGATACTACACCATGCGAGTGCAAATTTATGGGCACTCTAGTGTTCAATTATCTTTCACCTTCGGATCACGAAAGGCTCGAAAGCCAATCTATATCCTCAGGTTTAAGAAAATTGAACAGGGGCAACTGTTGTACCCCAAAATTTTCCCTCCCATATTTCCCAAGACATTTCAAGAATAAACTCCCAAGTTGCTCAAGATAGCTCAAGAGTTGGACATTCAAATCACCTCCTAAGGCAGTCAATTCAAAATTAGGGTTTTGTGTTGCATCAAGGTCCTTACATACAAATGACCCCAAGTGCTCCCCAATGCCTTAATATGTTCTCAAGATCATCCATGTCAAATTTCAAGCCTTGCAGAGGAAGTTTGGTCAGTCAATTGCTCAAGAGGTCCAAGAATCGACTGTGTTAGGGAAAAAGTCAACTGTGACCTACAAATAGTCAAACCTCAAGATTTTTTGTCAACATTCTCATTTTGAAGGATAATTCATCATTTTATCAAGGGTTGATCATTATTCATCAAGGATTGCTCAAGATTCATCAAGATTCAAAAGTTGCTAAATTAGGGTTTTATAGGAAAAGTCAACCCAACTTTGACCAAGCATAACTTTCTCATACTTTATGAGAAATGACCCATCAAAATCTCATTTTGAATAGGATTAAATTTCCTACAATCCATCTTCACACCCCAAGATCAAGAAATGCACTCACAAAAAGTTACAAATTTGGACATTATAGGTCATTTTTGAAAGTCAACAAAAACACCTTTTTTGCCAAAGCTTATAACTTGAGCATGGAATATCAAAATGAGAGGAGACCAAAAGGGTTGATTATAGGACATCTCAAGGTTTCTGAAAAGTCCAATAACACTTCCAAAAGTTCAAAATTGAAGAAGTTATGCATTGTTGAAGTTGGGCATTTTTCCAAAAGTGCCAAAAGTCAACTATCCTCAAAACTCCAATTTTTGACAAAAGGGCCCACTTTTTTCCACTTTATTTGATCTTGTCACACCACGCACGTGTCCTATCTTCAATTTCATGACCAATTATTAGTTTTTCTATTTTATTTGATTTTTATTGATTTAATTCATTTTTAATCAATTTAAATCAAAATAAAACCCAAATCTTAATAGCTTGATATCTTTTTTATCATTGCAGCTTTCAATCATCATGATACACCCAATCAAATTCGTGCCAAGCCATATCATGCATAAAATCTTGGATTTGGAAAGAACTTGAAAGCTATTAATGGAGGAATCATATCATATCTCAAATCATCAATTCACATGGATTGAAGCCCAAATTTTAAACCTAATTGCTTCTAATATACTCACACAAGCAAAAGCACAGGAGAACACGACCTAAAGCTGTCCAAAATCAAGAAACCAAACTTGGAAAAAAGCTTGAATCTGAAAACGATCTTAGAGGTGTTTCCAAGGCAAAAACTTGACACTAATCTCTTGCTGGACGTCTACTGAAGCGATTGGAATCAAAAGCAAGGTCCCAGGCCCTCTCCAACGCACTGTAAGTCTCCCTAAAAGTCACTCTGAACATGAAATCGTGACTCCATATCTTGGCATCTTTTGGACAAATTGTTCGTACAAACATGTTTATCATTCAATTTCCAATCATTCTGCAATATTCAATTGGATTTTTGTAGCCTGTAAAGCCCTACCCGAAACTAGGGTTTGGGTTTCTTGTTTTTAGGCATTTTAATTTCATGTAAAATTGGAACAAGCTATGGCCATGGATGGATTTAGGAGAACGAGGAGAGCAGGATGATGGTTTTGGTTTGCATTTTTGTGACCTATAATTCATTATAGGATGATGCCATGGATTTTGCCGCGGATTCAAATCCGCAAGAAAATATACCAGGGCCATTGGAGAAGACGACTACGTGTTCTCTCCCAACTGGCTTCTTCAAAATCTCGCGCCTTTTTATTTTTTATTCTGACATTTGTTTGTTTTTTTTTAATATATTATTTGATTTCCAATGTTATAACAAATAAGCATGATGGTGGAGATGGTAAGCGCGCTAGTGGATTGCCTCATGGGACCTGGGTTCAAATCCCAGGTCCCCCAATACATTTGTGTAATTTTTCTTCAGGCAATTGCATGTGACTTCCAAAGCGTGGTCCACCATATTCCTCATCCCATCAGGCGCCAGATGGCTTCAGATCAAGTCTAATGGCCAAGATTGAGCGCCTACCATGAACTCTAGTCAACAGGCGCGCGTGAGATCCTGGAAAGTCAAACAAGGCTGGCTTGAATTGGGCCTCAGAATTGCAGATTTCACCCCTTTCCAGGCCAGCACCCCTATTGGTTTATTCCTTTTCTTTTATATTTCTTATTATTTATTTGATTTTAGTTATTATTTTTATTGTTTAAATCAACCAATTAAAATCATTTTTCTTAATAAAATCAAAACCACAAAAATATTATTTTTATTAATTTCATTATTTTATTTTTGTAAATAAATATTAATTAGTTAACTTAGTTTTAAATAGGTTTAAACATTTAATATTTTTGCAATAAATTAAAACTAATGTAGAATTAGGTTTTTAATAATTTTAATCAATTTTATTTTATTTCCTTAAATACAAAAACCCAAAAATATTTTCATTATTTAATTTAATTTAATTGTTCATTTAATTTAATTCCATTTAATTCAAAAATAACAAAAAAAGTGCTTTCTTCCAAAAAAGGGTCAAAACCCTAAAAAATGCGCCGATTTAATTTTCCCGCACGCGATCCATTTGATTTCAATATTGTATCTGTTTCCTGGAATGTAATAGTTTAATTAGGACTTTGATTATTTTATCGCTTTATTTATTTTCCGCATTTTAATTTCAAGGGTTGTTTTTTGGCGATGTAAATACCTGACGCCTTGTAATAGTT